TCCCTCTCTCCCTCCCTCTCTCTCCCTCTCCCCCCCCCCCTTCTTCCCCTCCTCCCCCCCCCCCCCCCCCCCATCCCCCCCCCCACCCCCTCCCCCACCCATCCACCCTTCTACCCACTCCCCCACCCACTCACCCATCTACCCATCCACCCATCCATCCATCCATCCACCCACTCATCCATCTACCCATCCATCCATCCACTCACCCATCCACCCATCCACCCACTCACCCATCTACCCATCCATCTATCCATCCACCCATCCATCCATCCACCCACTCACCCATCTATCCATCCATCCATCCATCCATCCATCCACCCACTCACCCATCTACCCATCCATCTATCCATCCATCCATCCACCCACTCACCCATCTATCCATCCATCCATCCATCCATCCATCCATCCATCCATCCATCCACCCACCCACCCATCTACCCATCCACCTACCCATCCACCCATCCACCCACTCACCCATCTACCCATCCATCCATCCACCCACCCATCCACCCATCCACCCACTCACCCATCTACCCATCCATCTATCCACCCACCCATCCACCCATCCACCCACTCACCCATCCACCCATCCATCCATCCATCCATCCATCCATGCATCCATTCATCCATCTTATATCCCTCCATCCACACAGCTTTCTTTCACTTTGGTAGAAGCTATGTCCATGGTTAACATTTTGGTAACTAACCATTTTTTTGTAGCTAGAGTTAATTCAATTCTGCAGAGAATTTGGTGTGTCATTTTTCCCCTTTGCCTGCCAGTGGTGTCCAAACGTTTCATATGGATTCTGGATATCATTTCTTTTATAATTCTTTTCATCTTCTCTGTGACAGTATCAAAACATTTTATTGCTACAAAGATGACCCATCCACCCACTCACCCATCTACCCATCTACCCATCTACCCATCCATCCACCCATCCACCCACTCACCCATCTACCCATCCATCCATCCATCCATCCATCCACCCACCCATCTACGTATCCACCTACCCACCATCCATCCACCCATCCACCCATTTACCCATCCATCCACCCCCCCATTCATTCACCCACCCCCATCCATCCACCCACCCATCTGCCCCCACCCCCATCCATCCACCCACCCAACTGCATACCCACCTACCCACCATCCATTTATATATGCCAAAGGCACTGCACTTAGCACTGGGATTTGTAATTGAAAGCTTTTATGCTTAGAAAGCCCTGGTTTGGTCACTTTCAAGAATAGCTGAGTAAGAACACATTTATTAAAACAGTAGTTTTGGAAATTCTAGAAGTCAAGAAGTCTATGGAAGGCATATGAGGGAGTATCTGGTGTTGGCCTCTGAGAGGACATAGGTCACAATGGCAGAGGGTCTCACAGATAGTCATTCAGCCACAGAGGCACAGGAGGGTGGGGGAGAGAACAGCCTTTTCACCAGAAAGCAATGTTCCTAGGAGTCTCTCACACTGTCCCTAGAGTCCTGGATAGCATATTTAAAACTCTGGAGGCAAAAAAGTCACAAAGGCAAAGAATCATGAATTAGCCTTTTTATACTAAAAACTGATGGAGGACCCCATGTGAGTGATGAAATCGTTTCACAGAGTTGATTTATAGGGGGAAGAGCCTCTGTCTACAGATGAGAAGCCTTCTTTTTCACTTGAGCTGTAAGAAGGATATAAGCTTGAGTAATTTACATGGGTTGAATGTGATTCTGAGAATTAATTTAATAGAAAAAAAAGAAAGGCTGTGAATCAAGTCTGGGGATATGTTATAATTCACATCGCCGTAAGCTGTCCTTTTCGGTCCTTGAGAACTAACAGGATCCAGGCCCATATAGTCCAGCTTCTCGACAGGAGGCTGGGGTCTTGCATCAACAGTGGTGATACTACTGCATTCTCATTCACAACAGCAGTCCTTGGGCTTGTGGGCATGGCTGCAAGCCTGACAGGTGGCTTACCTCTGCTAGGATTCCCACCCTTCCCCTTTGCCCCTATGTAACTGAAAAAAGCAGGTGCTTTGTCCCTTGGCCTGACTCTAGCACAAACCCTCCAAAGAGTGAAATTTATTGTGATAAATTCTATTATTTGTCTTGTTTGCTGATTGATTCCACTTCTATGTGAGGGTAAGTGGATTTTAGTGGATGTATTTACTCTTTTGACCTTTGAAACTTTAACAGGAGGCAGAATTCACTTACTGGCAGTAGAAGGCTGAAGGTGCCAGTCTCTGGGGAGCTCTGCACACCCACTGCAAATAAACTCAAGTGCTGGCTGGCCTGGCTGCTGGCTCACTGTACAAACACACTCTTGGCTCCTTCACTGCAGGTGACTCTCAAATGCGTTTGTAAAGTGCTGACACTCTTGTGGGGACCTGCTGTTATGCCAGTAGTAGAAATGGCTTTCCTTAGGGACCAGAGGGCCCACACACCCCAGAGTTGTGGTGCTGCTGTTACTGGCAGGATGGCTTCATGTCACTGGGTCATCTCTGCCCTTCAGCCAGCAAGGTGTTAGGATTCCAGAGCAAAGCAGTGGGAACACAGGAAAGCCGATAGCAGACAATGCGGGTCACCCATGAGGAGGCAATCAGAAGGAAGATGAAAACAGGGCATCTCAGGTCTCAGGAGTCCTCCAGGAGCCAGCAGGAACCCAGAAGGCCTGTCCCCTAATTTAGTGGAACATGTATATGCGTTGGAGTTAGAAATTAAACTGCAAAGGATGCTGGGGGAACACTGATAATGACAATTACAGATGCTGAGCCAAGAAAGCTGGAGAAAAGACAGAAAGTTGTTTAACAGTGCAAGAAAACAAACTTCAATTATTTATGCAAGCTGCTTATAATTTAGCTGGATCACTATAATTTTAGTAACGTGCTTACTTTAAAAATGCATCTCATTTATTTATTATTTTTCTTTTCTCTTTTTGGTTTGTTTTTGTTTGTTTTTTGTTTTTTTCAATGCAGGGCTTCTCTGTATAGTCCTGGCTGTCCGGGAACTCGCTTTGTAGAGAACTCAGAGACCTGCCTGCCTCTGTTTCCTGAGTATTGGAAACAAAGGCGTGTGGTACAACTGGCTGGCTATTTGTGTGATTTTTATTTGATGTTTTTTTTTTTTTTTGTGTGTGTGTGTGTATGTGTGTGTGTGTGATCAAGTCTTGGTGTTTTAGGCCTGATATCTACTGTTACTGTTACTCTTATATTTGACTTGTCTTTCTAAGTTCATAGGCCTCATTCTGTTTTACATACTTAAATTTGACCTTTTTAAGATCAGCCACTTTTCAGTTTTTCTCACAAAAGGGTGGCTATTTGTTTATAAGTTCATCAGTAGAGAAGGCCAGCATTAGAAGCTGGATTTTCCTTAGTTCACCTTGGGGAGCGTTAGCACTTACATCCACAAATACTGCTATGTAGCATGTGTGATTGCTGCCTGCAGCCTGCTTCATCAGATGAGGTGAGGTGGGAGGGGAGGCCAGAGAGAGACCTGAGCATACAAAGGAGGAAAGGCAGGGTGTCTGCGGAGGAACCAAGTGTTTCCTGTGTGCAGTTGTAGCTGTGAGAGGCTCTGAAAACTCAGAAACATCAAGGTCTATTGGTTTATCCCTTATGAGATGAGGAAGTTAGAAGGGGAATGGACAGGAGGGCATTCTAGATTGATTTGTACCTATTTTGGACTTTAGCAGGTGTCAGGTTAGTTAACTGCTATAAGATGACCTGTGGTTCTGTCTTCCCGGCTTTCTCCAGAGATGCAGGGATGTTAGTGAGGGGCTAATGTATAGTTCCGAGTCTTTGTGGTTTTCACTGGAGATGGGGGATGTTGGGGGAGGGAAGTTTGTGAGCAGCTGCCGTACAGTTCCAGTGAAGATTGAGAAGCTTCCAGCTCTTAGTTAAGAACTTGACTAGATTAAGAGAGATTCGGTCTCATTTGACAGGTAGAATCGTGAGTGTTACCTTAGAGAGTCAGTGCTTGTTAGACCAAGAACATCTTAGAAACCTCAGGGTTTTCAGCTTTGTATAACCAGGAGCAGGCATTCAGAATGAATATGTTGGCTTATATGTGCAAGTTTCCTTTCTTAAGAACTGCTGGGGGTGGGGTTAGAAGGATATCTTAGCAGTTACATTACTGCTCTTTCAGAGGACCCAAGTTTGGTTCCCAGCACTCACTTAAGGTTGGTCACAACTTGGGATTTGATGCCTCTGGCCTCCAAGGGCATCTGCTCTAACATCACACACACACACTCACTCACACACACACACACACACATAAAAAAAAAAAAAGACACGTCAGGAGGCCAGTTATGATGGTGCATGCCTGTAAGCCTAGCCAGGAAGCTGAAGCAGGGGAATGAGAGTTCAAGGCTAGAGCTGGTGGTATGGGTCTATAATCCCAGCTCCTCAGGAGACCAAGACAGAATGATTGGAACTAAAAGGCCAGCTTGGTCATCTTGGCAAGACTTTGTTTCACAATTAAAACAAGCAACAGGGTGGATGAGATGTAGCTCAGTGATAGAACGTGTGCTTAACCTGTGTTCTAGGTTCAGTCACCAGCACTACCAAACTCAATCAGCCAACCAACCCACGGGAGTTCAAGGCTAGCCTAGGCTACTACTCAGTGAGACTCCATCTTCAACTCTCTATCTTCAACAACAAACAAGTCAGTAACTGGGGATTTAGCTCAGTAGTGGTATCAATATTAGCAGGGAGGTGCTGTAGAGACCTCAGGTAAAGCCTGGCCCTTGACTATATTGTTAAAAAGCATTTCAGGCCCAGCCAGAGTGAAGTAAAGATATTTAGACAGAGAGGCATACAGACTACATGCCAAAGACACAGGTGTGGGCTTCTCAAGAGCAAGAGTCCCCCATAAGTGTCTTTAGGTGGCTGTATACACAATTATGTAGCTTTGTAAGTTACATTGTTCAAAGAATGTAGTTTACAATAAGGTTTAAACAGAGTTACAAGTTAAGTTTAAAAATATATGAGCTGGTTTGTTTATTTGTCTTAAGGAACCTTTTTTTTTCTTTTGTAAATAAAATTGTAAGGTGGTCTCCTGAGGTGCAGTGTTTACATTTGGGGGTCTATAGTAGTGCTAACAGTCTGTAGCTCAAGCCCACAAGCATTCTGGCTCCAAGAAGGCATCATTTGCTGTTTTCACCACCCTTTGGGAGACTAAGCACTGCCTTTTAGCAAGCTTAATTTTACCAGTTGTACTGTAGATTCTTGACTGTCAGCCGGAGAGAAATTCAAAATAGCTATGAGGAGAGGTTTATTTTCCTTCATAATGTGTCTTTAATTTTTCTGTTTTTCTGTCCTGCCTCAGTACCCTATGTGGGGGCTGGAGGGTAGGGAAGAAGGTCGGGAAATAAAGTGATAGCAGCCAATATTGACTGAGTATATCTAGTATCTCAGGGCCTGTGAGGAATTAATTTCAGGACTCTCTGCCCAGAGTGTTCAAGTCCATGGACACCTTACATAGAATGTCATACTTACATATAACCTATGCATGTCATCATGCATGCTTTCAATCACCTCTGGGTGGGTTATCATATCTAATAACTGTAGGGATCATGTGTGTTGTTTGTTTAGGGAACAGTGACAAGAAAAATGTCTACACGACAGACTTTTTTCCCCTCCCAAATGTTTTGATCTGAGGCCTGTTGTGTCTGTGACTGTGGAGCCTGCTGATACTTCAGGCTTTTGAATCAAGTGAATATGACCTTGGAGGGCAGTCATCATTAACTCTCCTACAGACAAGGAAGCTGAGGCAGAGAAACAACAATGTCCTGGAGTAGGCTTTAGGATTCAGGTCTGTGGTTGTCACTTATTTAACTCTTCACACAGTTGTGTAGTTTTAAGGGCTTGGGAGATGGATGATCTGGAAGGTTTGTGCCTCCCAAGCATGAGGACCTGAGTTCACATTACCGGAGCTCGCACAAAAAGCCAGATGTTGGTGTATGTAATCCCTGAGAGATGAGAGGGATTACATACACCACAGAGACAGTGGATTCTGTAAGTTTTAGCTCATCTAGCCTATTTGGCAAAGTTCCAGGCTGGAAAGACCCTGTCTCAGACACAAGGTGGCATGTGCCTGAGGGCTGAGACCAGAGGAAGTCATCCTCTGATCTCTACATACACACCATTCATATGTACACCCATGTGTGCACACACACATCACACACACAAATACTTGTTTCATTTTCTTCAGCCAGTGGGATGGCCATACAAGTTGCCATGGTGACACCAGGAATGACCCATACTGTCCATCACTCTGTGACTGATGTTGGTCCTTGGTGTTCTGGCCTGCAGGGGGATTCCT